GCCTCCCCCTCTCTCCCTATTTATTTCAGAACCCCCTTCCCCTCCCACATTTCTGATGAAGGGTCTAGGCCCGAAACGTCAGCCTTTCTGCTCCTATGATGCTGCTTGGCCTACTTTGTTCATCCAGCTCTGCATCTTGTTGTCTCGGATTCTCTAGCATCTGCAGTTCCTACTATCTCTAACATTCTTCACTGTTCGCTTTACCACTAATTTTGTTGTCATCTATAAACTTGCTAACCATGCCTCATATATTGTCATCCAAATCATTTATATAAATGACAAACAGAATTCGACCCAGTAGTGATTCCTGTGGAACACCACTGGTCACATGCCTAAAACAATCCTCCACCATCACCCTTTGTCTCCTACCGTCAAGCCAATTTTGTATCACTTGGTAAGCTCACCCTGAATTCCCTGTGATTTACCTTTACTAAGTAGTCTACCTTGCGGAACCTTGTCAAAGGCTTTACTAAAGTCCATGCAAACACTGTCTACTGCACTGCCATCATCAATCTTCTTGGTTATTTCCTCGAAAAACTCAATCAAGTTTGGGAGACATGATTTCCCTCACACAAAACCACGATGACCATTCCTAATCAGTCCTTGCCTCTCAAAATGCATGTAAGTCCTATCTTTCAGAATCACCTCCAACAACTTATCCAACACCAATGTCAGGCTCACAGGTCTATAGTCCCCAGGCTTCTCCTTACAGTACTGTTTAAATAAAGGCATAACGTTAATCACCCCCCAGTCCTCCGGCACCTCACCTGTGGTTATAGATGATATAAATATTTCTGCTAGGGACCCAGAAATTTCTTCCCTAACTTCCCACAACTCCCTGGGATACACTTACTCAGGTCCCAGAGATATATCCGCCTTTATGTTTTCTAAGACCTCCAGCACTTAGTGTTTTAATGTTTAGTATTTTTTTCTTTACAAGGCCTCATTTAAACTTTCTCTTTTGTTTCCTCAGCTATCAACGGTTTTCTTTTTGGAAATCTACCTGGGCTGAACATGTGCCATGGCCAGTCTATTTCCTGGCACTTGTTTTCAATAGGAAATGAAGTTGATATTCATTCAGCATACTTTCATGGCCAGACTCTCATTAACAAAGGTCATAAAGTGGATGTCATTAGTCTTTTTCCAGCTACATTTGTCACAGTACAAATGGTTTCCAGAAATGTTGGAAAATGGTTGTTAAGCTGCGAAGTGAATGACCATATTAAGGGTGAGAAATTGAGTTGCTGACTTTAGCTGATTGTTTTACATTTTATTTATGAGCAAAGCTAATGAGGATTTGTTGGTTGAGAGATTTTTTTAAAAAGTTATATTTTGATCAAAATGTATCTGTAACAGTGATGGTCTAGTTGGTTATTTTGCCAAACCCTGGCCTAGGGTTTAACTCAACTGATTTCCTGGAGCAGTGGCGCTTTTAGGGCTTGGGAAACTTGGACATCAGGATATTTATGATCCTGTGGTGTTTATCACTGATCACTTCTCCATCTGAGGCCTAATCCACAACCTTCACCCTCAGATTATATGGAGAGGGGCCAAAATCAGCAGCCTGCCACCCATACATAAGTAAATAGTAATCAATTCTATGATTTCTATTTGAGTTTGTTAAAGGTTCAGTTCACCCCAATATTACCCTGCTCATGTCATAATATGCCATAAAGAATTTGAACCCAGGTCCTGACACTGAGGCAACAGTGCTAACCACTGAGCCACTGTGCTGCTGTTGTCTAGGCGGCAGAGACTGAGAGTTTGGAAGTTGCTTTCGAAGGAGTCTTGGTGAGTTTCTGCAGTGTATCTTGTGTGTAGTACACATTATTACCACTGAGCATTGGTGCTAAAGGGAGTCAATGTTTATATTGCTGGATGATGTGCTGATCAAATTGGCTGCTTTATCGTGGATTTTGTCAATCTTCTTGAATGTTGTTCGTCAGATCCATCCAGTCAAGTGTGGAATATTCTATGACAGTTTTGATTTGTGCAGTGTAGGTTTTGTGAAGGACAGGCTTTGTTAAGTCAGGAGGTGACTTACTCACCTCAGAATTTCCAGTCTCTTTATCTCATAGAGTCATTGACTCATATAGCACAGAAACTAAGCTAGTCCCACCTGCCTGCTCTTGGCCCATATCACCCCAAACCTTTCCTATTCATATACTTATCCAAACATTGTAACTGTACCCACAATCACCACTTCCTCAGAAAATTCATTGCACACATATACCACTCTGTATGTAAAAAATTGCCCCTCATGTCTTTTTCAAGTCCCTCTCCTCTCACCTTAAGAATGTGCCCCCTAGTCTTGAAATCCCCCATCCTAGGGAAAAGACAACTACCATTAACTGTATCTATACCACTCATTATTTTATAAACTTCTATAATGTCACTTCCCAACCTCTTATGCTCCAGTGAAAAAAGTCCCAGCCCATTCAGCCTTTCTTTATAACTCAAACCTTCCATAACCGGTGACATCCTGGTAAATCTTTTCTGAACCCTCTCCAGCTTAATAATATCCTTTCAATAACTGGGTGACCAGAACTGGATGCAGCATTCCAGAAAAGGCCTCACCAATGTCCTGTACAACCTCAACATGATTTCCCAACTCCTGTGCTCAAAGGACTGAGCAATGAAGGCAAGCGTGCCAATCGCCTTTTTAACCACTCTGTCTATATGTAACACAAACTTCAAAGAATTATGTACCTGAACACCTAGGTCCCTCTGTACTACAACACTACCCAAGGCCCTATCATATATTGTATAAGCGCTACCCTTGTTTGTTGCACCAAAATGCAGTCCCTTGCATTTATCCAGATTGAACGCCATCTGCCATTTTTCAGCCCATTGACCCATTTAGCACTTATATGGCAGTTCAGTTCAGTTTCTGGTCAATGGTAACATCCTAGACAGTGTTAGTGGAGGAGTTCAACAGTGGTAATGCCGTTGAATGTAATGGGGGAAATTACTTGTTTCTCTTTTCTTGGAGATGGCCCTTACCTGTGTGTTGTGAATGTTGATTGTCAGTTATCAGTCCAAGCCTGAATGTTGTCCAGATTTTGTTGCATATTGACGTGGACTACTTCAGTACCTGAAGAGTTCTGAATGGTGCTGAACGTTGTTCAATCATCAGCAAACAAAAATACTTCCTATGTTAGGACTGAGGGAAGGACATTGATGAAGCAGCTGAAGATGGTTGACCTAGGACACTATCCTGAAAACAATTAATCTCCAACAACATCAGCCATTTTCCTTTGTGCTCAGTATGACTCTAACTAGTAAAGAGATTACTCCGATTTCCATTGACTTTGTTTTTGTTAGGGCTCATTGTGGCCTTTATATAGACACTCCCATCTCACCTCTGGAGTTCAGCTTTTTTGATCATATTTCTGTTGTAACAAGGTTAGGAGCTGTCTATTTCTGGCACAGGCAGAAAAATAGTAGTTTTTGTAATATAGGTATGAGAGGTATTCTGATAATTGTAGAACCACTCATTAGCAACAGGAAAAAAAACAAGTACTGCAAATGCTGGAAATCTGAATTACAAACAATAAATACAGGAAATAATGAACGGTTAGGCAGCATCTGTGGAAAGAGGAACAGAATTAACAAAATTTCACAGTGGGCTTCAGAAATAGAGGCCAGAATCCCTCACCGTGTCGCAAACAGTCAGCTGGCTGCAATTTTCCCCACATTGGGCTATTATTTTCTGGAAGGCAGGAGTGTTGTCCAATTGACGAAGCAGCCATCTACCTTCTCAGGTAAGTGAGTGTGAAGGCCCCTCCATTTTGAAACCTTTCTCTCATAAACAGTTTGAAGTTTAAATTGAAAATGTCCTTTGATGCTAAATGTCCATTGAAGAGAGAGAATTCTTTCACAGCAGGGCCTGTGGCTGAAGGCAAGAAAGCGAGGAGGTCCACCATATCCTCCAAAAACAATCTGGTCACTCCTCCCCACTCTGTACCAGTCTGGCCATGGTGAAAGCTGCTTGCAAGCACCTTGGTTGATTTTTGGCATTTCTGGATACCTAGAGTTGACTTGAAAATTACAGTCAGCTCCTGATAGTATTGGCCTTATTGAGACCTTTTAAGCAGCCTCAATATGGGATTACCCGTCAGCAGCAATCCCCACTTCCTATTCTGTTTCAGGAGAAAAGATCCAGGGGTTGGATGATGCTAGGAAACAGACTGAAAATACTGCACAGAGGCCGGTATCCCGTCACCAAGTCTCCCTTTTTTTGCTTCTGCACAGTATGCAGGCAGTGGCCAGCAAGCTTGGAGTCAGTCCCCTGAACTGAAGAGATTCTCATCTCCTAGTTATTTTTTTTACTTCAATCCATGACCACTGAAATAATTCACAGAGGCTGGTTATCCCATCACCAAGTCATCCTTTATTTACTTGTGCACAGTACGGTGGCAGTGGCCAGCCAACTCGGAGTCAGTTGCCTCAACTAAGGAGATTCTAATCTCCTGGTTATATTGGCCAGCCAGGATTTTCCTTATTGGCCCACGTTAAAAACTCCAATCAAGGATCTCATAGTCAACAAGATCCGGCTGGTTCCAATCACTACACAGACATTCTGTCCAGCAATGTGCAATCCTGTGCCTGCCCTTTCTGTGCTCAGCCGAGCAACAGATTTGCTCCCGACTTTTCAGCCAAGGAGGGGAAATATTGCCTTTTGTTCTCTTTTCACAGATACTGCCCAAGATGCAGTATATTTCTTGCATTTTCTGGTTTTATAGCATCGAGGGTGCAGTGTATGGAGAAGAAAAGGTTTGCCAACATAATTTCTTTTACTGAATTGTGTCCTTTTAACAATTAAGATTTGTGTTCCCTAGTCTTGTTTTCTTTATTTTCTAGCTGGCATGCAGGCATTGTTTGTTGTGCAGGAATGTGGACACAACTATTCAGAAACTACACTTACTGGTAAAGAGAGAAAGTACTTTATTGCAGCTGAAATGGAGCGGTGGAAATATGGTCCGACAAATAAGAATTTATTCAACGGTCAGCCACTAGATACAGAAGGAAGGTAATTTTAAAATAAATTGATCTGTAATACTGGTTAAATGTGTATATGTTCTTTTGAATCTTCTGGCCATACGACTTCATGCATGCAGCTGATTTATGAACAAACAAATTTTAAAAATGGCAAAGAGACAGGGAATTAGGGGAGTTAACAAGTACCTAAAGGGCTGGCATGGGAAAAGCTTTGCTTTTTCACAGGGCAATTCTACCAGTGCTGGCATAGGAAGGAGTTATACCAATGGATGAGACTCCACACAACTGGAATTGGGCCAGTTTCCAAGTTGAAATGGTAAGTAAATAGTGGCAAAGACTTCAAAGAGTCTGTTGGACTGGTAGTTATTGAAAAGAAGTGAAACAAGCTCAAACTAAATGAAATTAGCAAGGAGAGCATGGAGCAAACCGAAGGGAGGAAACAAATATCCAGAAAATAAATATACCTAAACAATAGGACCGTTTTTAAAAAAGGTCAAAAATAAAATTAGAGTTGCTTCTAAAAATGAATTAAACTGTTTCTACAGCTGTGAACACAAGGTGCAAAATAAAACTGGGCACCTGCTCGTAGTAATATATTCCTGGAAGTCCCATTTATAGTCAGGATTATTGAGACAATGTAGTAGAAAAATCAGAGCTGGAAATCAAACATTGTGGGTATCATATATTTCAAAAGCTATAGCAGGAAAAAGAGGAGATGGAATAGCTAATATAATGAGAGTGGGGAAAAAAGTAATGCAGCCATTAGTACGACAGAAATAGAATCAATTTAGATAGAGATAATGTGTCATAGAATCCTAGAAGCTCAATCACATTGTAAGGGATGGTCTACAATGCACCAAATGTTGAAAGGAAGGCAGAGGAAAAGTATGGAGTAAATTAGGAAAATAATTACAACTGAAGTAGCCATCATCATCATGGGGGATTTCAAATATCACTAAATTAATTGGCCATAAGATGTAGCTAAAGGGGATAAAGGAATAAAAGTTCCTGCAATATGTGCAGGTCTCCATTCTAACCCAATATACACGAGCCCAAAAATGGAGGATCCACTGGTGGATATGGTAATGGGAAATGAACCAGAGCAGATTAAAAAGTAGACATAGAAGAATATTAAGGTAATAGTGACCATAATATAATAAAGTTTGGGATAATAATTAATAAAGACTTGAGAATGATAAAGACTATGATACTTTATTGGAGAAAAGCTGGTAAATGCTGAAAGTAAATATTGGGTAAAGTAATATCAGCCAACAATGATGTCAAATCACAGCAGAAAACAATTAAAATGTATTCACCAAAATACAAGGAAGTTATATTTTGCTAAAAACAAGAATTACCTAAACATGGTACCATGAGATGCCATAGATTGTGATAACGACATGAGGAAAAACTTGAAGGCAAAACAAGTGACATTCCCAAAGTATAGGGAAGGGCATTACAAAAGAAATTCTGAGACAACTCAGAATAAAATTATGAACGCAAAGAGGAAATATAAGCTTAACTTTTCAAAGGGCCAATACGTAACATAGATATCTTAAATTACACAAATACACAGGTATTGAAACTCCCTTTTGTTCTTGTTTGTAAACTATTAAAAGATTGGAAATTGATATGCTACTGACCTTGATATTATGAATAGTTGTTATTGATTGACTGAAAGCTTTATGAGAGAGTAAGGAGGCAATCTGTTTTAAAGGGAATGTTGAATTGCTGTTTTCTTTGGCTACCATCTTGAATCTGAGTTCCCCTGTGATTCACGACTCCTCTAAAGTACTCCATTAAAGTAGTAGGGCAGGACTTCGAATGCTCATCCCTGCAAGCTGACAATGGCAGTAGTGTTGACTGGTTACTTGTACCATTTTCCTGCATGAGCCAAATTGCTGGAAATAGAATTGGGATTGGGAATCTGGAAGTCATTTTTAAAGGCCTTCTGGCTTGGCTCCACAAAATTCCAGACCAATGCATTTGGTTCCGCTGGTGAGGAGAGCAATACAAAAGTGATCAATATAAAATAGTCATCAAGAAATCAAATTGGACATTCAGAAGAAACTTTACCCAGAGAGTACTGAGAACGTGGAACTCGCTACTGCATGAGGTAAAAGCAAATAGTATAGATGCATTTGTTGGAAAGTTAAATGAGCATAAGGGAGAGTAGGAAGTAAAACTTTATGCTGATGGCAAGGGTAGGGAAAGAAATCATGAGTCCCAGTACTGATCCTGGCTGCAGACCCACTCTGAGTTAAGCACAGCAGGTCCCAGTCATTGAACTCTGATGTATTCCCTGTCCCAGACCATGGTAAAGATAAAGTTGCCATAGGGCTGCTCTCTCATTAGAGAGAGATGACTGGTAGTGGTTTAACCTGAAGGTTACCACCTTGAGGGGCGGGGTTAGTGTAGGCAAGCCCTTCATGGTGCCCTCAGCTGGTGTGGAAATTGAACCCACACTGTTGGCATTACTCTGCATCACAAAACAGCCATCCAACCAACTGAGCTAACTAACTGCAAGGTCCTGGTAGAAGGGTAGGAAGTGATTTAAGTCGAGCATAAATAAATGGACTAGTTGAGCAAAATGCTTTTTTTTTCTGCTATATAGCTTACAAACTCTATGCAGTCTTTGTGTTACAATGAAAAGGTAACCATCGGTAACATTTGTAATTATTTCATTTCATTTGAAGATTTTGCGGCACCAGATGCAAAAGATGTAAGTTCTCCCCACTCCCAAAAAAAAGGTTTTTGTTTTGTGTTGTCAATGTAGGTCAATAGGTTTATGAGTAAAGGTAAAATGCACCTTATTTCTCCTGCTCTTAATGGTTAAAGGTCGTGCCTCACTAACTTGATTGAGTTTTTTGAGGAGGTGATGAACATGTTTGATGAGCAAAAAATGGTTGATGTTGTCTACATGGACTTCAGTAAAGCCTTTGACAAGGTCCTTCATGGAAGATTGATCCAAAAGGTGAAGTCACATATTATCAGGATTAAATTGGCAAGATGGATACAGAACTGACTTAGTCATAGGAGACAGGGGATAGTGGTGGAAGGATGCTTTTCGGAATGGAGAGTTGTGACTAGTGGTATTCCACAGGGATCAGTGCTGTTCATGGCTTACATAAATGATTTGGAGGAAAATGTGGCTGGTCTAATTATTTGTGGAGTTGTGGATAGTGAGGAGGATTGTCAGTGGATACAGCGGATATAGATCACTTAGAGGCATGGGCAGAAAAATGGCAGATGCAGTTTAATCTGGACAAATGTGAGGTGAAGTATCTTGGAAAGTCAAGTACAGGTGGAAATTATGCAGTGAATGGCAGAACCCCCTTAGGAGTATTGATATGCAGATAGATCTAGGTGTGCAGGTCCACAGATCACTGAAGGTGGCAGTGCAGGTAGATAAGGTAGTTAAAAAAGCCTACGGCATGCTTGCCTTCATTGGAAAAGCACTGAATATAAGGACAGGCAAGTTATGCTGCAGCTTTATAGAACTTTAGTTAGGCCATACATGGAATATTGCATGCAGTTCTCAATTTTTTTTCCTTTATTCATTAGTGGGATGAGGGCATCGCTGGCTAGACAGCATTTATTGTCCATCCCTAGTTCCAGAGGGCAGTTCAGAGTCAGCCATATTGCTGTGGGTCTGGAGTCACATGTAGGCCAGACCAGGTAAGGATGACAGTTTCTTTCCCAAAAGGACATTAGTGAACCAGATGGGTTTTTCCAACAATCATGGTCATCATTAGATTCTTAATTCCAGATATTTTATTGAATTCAATTTCCACCATCTGCCATTGCAGGATTCAAACCCAGGTCCCTAGAATGTTATCTCGTTCTCTGGATTAACAATCCAGCAATAATACCACTAGGCCATCATCTCCCCATTGCCTAGTCACCACATTACCAAAAAGATGTGGATGGTTTGGAGAGGGTACAGAAAAGGTTTACGAGGATGTTGCCTGATATAGGGCATCTTAGCTATGAAGAAAGGTTAGATAGACTGTTTTGTTTTCACTGGAAGGCAGGCGGCTGAGGGGTGACCTGATAGAAGTTTTCTAAGATTGTGAATGGCATGGATAGAGTGGAAAGTATGAGATTTTTTCCCAGGGTGGAGGGGTCAATTACTAGGGGACACAGGCTCAAAGCAGGGGGGTGTAGTTTAAAAGAGATGTGCAAAGCTAGTTTTTCACACAAAGGGTGGTGAGTGCAATGAGCTACCAGAGTAGGTGGTGGAAGCAGAAACAGTTACAACATGCAAGAAGCACCTGATGAATACGTGAACAGGAAGGGAATAGAGGGATATGGATCCTGTAAGTGAAAACGGTTTTAATGTGGAGGGGCAAAATGTGTCGCCGCAGGGTTGGAGAGCTGAATGGCCTGTTCCTGTGCTGTATTGTTCCTTGTTCTTTGTTAAAAAATAGTTTGTTTTACACAAAGTATTTCTGGGGATTGGAGTGCTCAATAAATTCTACCACTTTTTGTCACTCATTTAATCAACCAATAAAAGATTCTGCAAACTTTCTTTCTTCAACAATTTATTGCAACCTTAGAACACGTATATATTGTTACAGTCTCAACTATTTATCCTTTATGGCTGGGCTTACTTAGTATGACAGTTGTTTGGTACAAGAACAATGGTCTTACTCTGTTCCTTTGTCAGTCATCTGACTTTGTATTTGCTTACCAACTACTTCAGGAACAGGATAATTTTAGTGGGAAGTAATAATTCAAAATCCTAATTTTTAACTTTATGTCTGTATGCTATCATTTACCAGTTCTTAAACTTCCTGTGAGAAATTCCTGTAAAAAATGGGCACAATTCCTTGGTCATTAAGGCTAAGACATCCAAATGTGTGTGTCAGTGCTTCAAAGATACTTAATTAGTAATGTAAAGGAACCATATGTGGTAATCTTAACCAGTGAGAACTAATGAAGTGAGATCTTTACACTGCAGAGTTGCAGCAAATTTTAAACTGGCTCCCAATTGCACTGTGGGAGTCTAATTAACTATGTTAATGAGGTGTTCTTCCTCTTCGTGGTGATGGCTCTCCACTATGATATCTGCTGCTGTAAAGAAATGCGATTATGTGCATGGTGTGTTGCTGACAAATTGTCTGTATTCAACCACTTAAAGCATCTTCTTGCGGTTGTCTACATCCTCTTGTATGAATGTTCATATTGGATGAACAATGAAGCTTAGATGGAGGGTCTGTTTGTATGTCTCAACAATTACTTACAGTATTATACAAAGAATTGTTCATACTGTTTTAGGAATACAATGTATTCTTTTAAAAATATTTTCACTCTTTGCAAATAAATGTGTACTTTTAATTTTTTACAGTGATTCTGAGATTTTCTTCAAGAGAAGTACTGATAAAATAGGAGGAGAATACTGGAAAGTTCGTTACGTTGAATATATTGATGAAACCTTTAGCACTAGAAAAGATCGATTACAAGTGGAAGAACATCTAGGAATACTTGGTATCATATATGATTTGATGTTTAAACTTTTTATGTTTCTTGAAAGCATACAAAATTACATTATTTTGATTAATTGTTTTATAAGGCCCAGTAATTAAAGCCGAAGTTGGAGACACGATTTTTGTTACATTTGTGAATAATGCAGACCGTGCCTACAGCATTCAACCACATGGTGTCCATTTTACAAAGGTGTTTGATGGAGTGAGCTACGTTGATGGTAAGTTAATGTTCGTGCTCTATTTGCGAGTTTCTCTTTTTATAAATTGTAGTACATTTAAAAATAGTACAATTGAGACTGAAGTTTACAGAATTATTTATTATAATAATTGAGATTTATCCTTTTTATATCACTCTGACCCCATGTTAGAATTAAGATTGTGCATTTACTGCTCAAATTGAGCTAGGCCAGTTTTGTCAACTAAGTATCATAATTGGGGTGATTGCAGAGATAGTAGGAACTGCAGATGCTGGAGAATCTGAGATAACAAGGTGTAGAGCTGGATGAACACAGCAGGCCAAGCAGCATCAGAGGACCAGGAAAGCTGACGTTTCGGGCCTAGACCCTTCTTCAGAAATGGGGGAGAGGAAGGGGGTTCTGAAATAAATAGGGAGAGAGGGGGAGGTGGATAGAAGATGGATAAAGGAGAACATAGGTGGAGAGGAGACAGACAGGTCAAAGAGGCGGGGATGGAGCCAGTAAAGGTGAGTGTAGATGGGGAGTTAGGGAGGGGATAGGTCAGTCCAGGGATGACAGACAGGTCAAGGGGGTGGGATGAGGCTAGTAGGTAGGAGATGGGGGTGGGGCTTGAGGTCGGAGGAGGGGATAGGTGGGAGGAAGGACAGGTGAGGGAGGCGGAGACAAGCTGGACTGGTTTTGGGATGTGGTAGGGGGAGGGGAGATTTTGAAGCCTGTGAAGTCCACATTGACACCTTTGGGCTGCAGGAAATATGAGGTGCTGTTCCTGCAACCTTCGGGTGGCATAGTTGTGGCACTGCAGGAGGCCCAGGATGGACATGTCGTCTGAGGAATGGGAGGGGGAGTTGAAATGGTTCGCGACTGGGAGGTGTAGTTGTTTAGTGCGAACCGAGCGTAGGTGTTCCGCAAAGCGGTCCCCAAGCCTCTGCTTGGTTTCCCCGATGTAGAGGAGGCCACAACGAGAATATTGGATACAGTATACCACATTAGCAGATGTGCAGGTGAACATCTGCTTGATGTGGAAGGTCTTCTTGGGGCCTAGGATGGGGGTGAGGGGGGAGGTGTAGGGGCAGGTGAAGCACTTCCTGCGGTTGCAGGGAAAAGTGCCGGGTGTGGTGGGGCTGGAGGGGAGTGTGGAGCGGACAAGGGAGTCACGGAGAGAGTGGTCCCTCCGGAAAGCAGATAAGGGTGGGGAGGGAAAATGTCTTTGGTGGTGGGGTCGGATTGCAGATGGCGGAAGTGTCGGAGGATGATGCGTTGGATCCTGAGGTTGATGGGGTGGTACGTGAGGACGATGGGGTTTCTGTTTTTGTTGTTATTTGCAGGGAGGGGGTGTGAGGGATGAGTTGCAGGAAATGTGGGAGACACGGTCGAGGGCGTTCTCGACCAGTGAGGGGGGGAAGTTGCAGTCCTTGAAAAACGAGGACATCTGAGATGTTCGGGAGTGGAATGTCTCATCCTGGCAGCAGATGCGGCGGAGGCGAAGGAGTTGGGAATAGGGGATTGCATTTTTGCAGGAAGGTGGATGGGACGAGGTGTATTCTAGGTAGCTGTGGGAGTCGGTGGGCTTGAAATGGATATCGGTTTCCAGGTTATCTGGGTGTTTGCAGGATGATTAGAAGGTCAGGAAATCTAACAGAAATTGTTGCATTCGCGACACAGTGTGTTTAGCTCATATATCCCGCAAAGGACAGTGAGTCAACTCTTAATAGTAATATGAAATGAACTTTATTGATTATAACACAATTAATACTATAATAACGATTATGCTACAAACTAACAATTAATACTATAAATCTGACAATTAATGCTGTAAATATAAGTCAGTGTTTTGTACTTTAGCTTAACTTGGAATGATCAAACATCATCACAGTAGACCTTGACCTTGATCCATGTGGTGATGGTCATCTGATCTTCCTCTCCCGGTGGTCCCAGGGGTGCCTCTTCTTATGGTGGTTGGTCTCAAGTTACCGCTCCCGAGGGTACTGTTGTGGTGATTCTTATTCTTGGAAGCTTCCGCACCCCTTTGGGAGGATCTTCGATTCCTACCAATGGATTGATCAGGAATCGATCGCCCAGATTGATCAGACCCAATCAGGCAGTGCTATGCAGATGGTGGGGTGGTCTTTGATCCTTCATTTCTGAAAGTGTCAGGGTACATAAGTCAGGTAGGCTTCCCAGATATGAGTGTGAGGTGTCCCTTTGGTCTGGAAACAGCTCGATATTTCCTATTGTCCTGATAAATGGGCTTAGTCAATTGTGTATTGTGCTGTCTGCAGCTGCAGCTTGCCTGTCTGGGTCTGCAGTTTGTTTATTTCAGTATCTTTGCATAGTTACTTTGGCCAATGCTTGGCTTGATTTCCCAGCATGCTTGGTGTATTATCTGATTCTACAACATCCATTCTACTGGATTCCTGCTAAGCTTAAGCGTGTCCTGTAGTAAAATCTGGAATAGACACCTAAAGCATGCACTCAAAGCTGGTGAGAACTTCATTAACTGAAACCGAAGGGTAGAGAGTGGCTATTGTGCCAATTCCTGCTTCAAGGAATTGTTAGCACTGAATATCCAACGCACACATTATAATTTGATGGAGAGGTAGCCTCAGGTGAACCTACAGGAAGGGTGACCATTAAGATGCCCACAGACTGTAAGAGTAAGCCTTTTTAAAGGCATTCAGGTTTTTATGAGTCCTTGTGCGAATTTTTATTTATGTAGCACTGTAAATCATCAAAGTTCTTTGTCAAAATTTCCTTTGTCTGTGTAAACACACAGTAGAACCAAAGAGTTAACACAGTGTAGAGCTGGTGGAACACCGGGGACCAGGCAGCATCAGAGGAGCAGGAAAGTTGATGTTTTGGGTTGGGAGTTCTTATGATTTTTGGGTGAGTTAGAACAAAAGAGTGTTTGTGATCCCTAAGAGACTGAGAGCTTTTAAAAAAAACATGAATTTCTTAGCAACCGACAGATAAGATCTCATGTTTTAAGACTTTAGCTATAACAAACAAACTAAAATCATTAAAATAAACTTTACCAAAAGGTAGTTAATGCACAAAACAAAAGAAAAGGTACTTCCATTCTCATTAACTAATGCAATCAAGTGATGTCTTATGAAACTGTGGAGCTGTGTGCACATTTCTGGCAGATATGTATAATTACAGGACCAGTCCCACATTAACTGTCAGCTCTCCAGCAGTTTCACTTCACCTCCCTACACACAAGGCCAAAACCTCTGGTATCCTGGAAAAACAATTTGAATGCTTCAGATCTGACTTTTGTTGATGAGACCCAATCCAATTGTTCCCTGTTCGAAATCTCCAAGAGGTCTGTTTGTTCAGTTCCCATCTTTTTGAAAAGGAAACGTTGTCTTGTCAGCAGACTGTACCTCCACAGCAGTATGTTATGTCTCTCCCTACCTTTCAAAAAGCAGATTGCCCTTTTTTGAAATAACACAGCATGGAGCTGGAAGAACACAACAGGCCAGGCAGCATCAGAGGAGCAGGAAAGTTGACATTTCAGGTCGGGAGCCTTTTTCAGAAGTGGGGAGGGGGAAGGAAGCTCAGAAATAAATAGAAAGAGGAGGGGTGGGGCTGGGGAAGGTAGGTGGGATGTTGATAGGTGAGTGTAGGTAGGGAGTAATGGGGATTGGTCAGTTTAATGGGAGGGGTGGTTAGGTGGGAGAGAAGATGGACAGGTTGTGACAAGTCAAGGAGGTGGGGTTGAGAGGGAGGATGGACACGGGTTGAGGCCGGGGGTGAGAAGATTTTAAAACTGGTGAATTCCATGGTTAGGCTATTGGGCTGTAGGGTACCGAGTTGGAATATGAGATGCTACTCCTCCAGTTTGTGGGTGGTGTCATTGTGACACTGGAGGAGGCCCAGGATGGACATGTCACCTAGGGAGTGGGAGGGGGAGTTAAAATGGTTGGCGACTGGAAGGTGTTGCCGTTTGTTGCATACAGACCGCAGATGCTTTACAAAACGGTCTCTGAGTCTATGCTTACTCTCACCGATGTAGAGGAGGCCATGTCGGGAGCAGCGGATACAGTAGACCGAGTCGACGGATGTACAGGTGAGCCCCTGCCTAATATGGAAAGTTTGTTTTGGGCTTTGAATGGATGTGAGGGAGGTGGTGTAAGGGCAGCTGTAGCACTTCCTGTGGTTGCAGGGAAAGGTTCCGTGGGTGGTGGGGTTACTGGTGATTGTGGAGCAGACGAGGGAGTTGCGGAGAGAGCGGTCCCTACGAAAGGCAGATAGGGGTGGGGAGGGAAATATCTCTTTGTTTGTGGGGTCAGCTTGTAGGTGGTGGAAGTGGCGGAGAATGTTACATTGGATGCGGAGGTTGGTGGAGTGATATGTGAGGACAAGGGGGATTCTGTCTTTATTTTTGTTGAGGGAAAGGGATGTGAGGGCAGAAGTGCGGAAAATGCAAGAGATGCGGTTGAGGGCATTTTCAATCACCGGAGGGGGGAAGTTATGGTCCTTAAAATAGGAGGACATCTGGGATGTGCAGGAGTGGAATGCCCCATCTTGGGAGCAGACACAGCGGAGGTGGAGGAATTGGGCAAAGGATATTGCATTCTTGCAGGAAGTTGGGTGAGGTGAGATGTAGTCCAGGTAGCTGTGGAAGTCGGTGAGACCAACTGTAGGACTTGGTCTACTGCATCCGCTGCTCCAGATGTGGCCTCCTCTACATCAGCAAGACCAAGCGTAGACTAGGAGACCGTTTTGTAGAGCATTTGCACTCTATACATGACAAATGACAACACCTTCCGGTTGCCAACCATTTTAACTCCCCCTCCCACTACCTGGGTGACATGTCCATCCTGGGCCCTCCTACAGTGTCACAATGACACCACCCACAAACTGTAGGAGCAGCACCTCATATTCTGCCTTGGGAGCCTACAGCCCAATGGCCTAAATATGGAATTCACCAGTTTTAAAATCTCCCCACTCCTGGCCTCATCCCATGTCCAACCCTCCATTGCATCTCACTTCCTTGACCTGACACAACCTGTCCATCTTCTCTCCCATCTATCCACCCCACCCCATTCTGAGGAAGGGTCACCGGACCCGAAACGTTAACTCTGTTTTCTCCTCCACAGATGCTGCCAGACCTGCTGAGCTTTTCCAGCAACTTTGTTTTTGTATCCACCCCTCCCACCTCATTGACCAGTCCTCACCACTCCCTACCTGTACTCATCTATCACCATCCCACCTATCTTCCCCAGGCCCTCCCCTCCTCTCGCGATTTATTCCTGAGCTCCCTTCCCCTTCCCCATTTCTGAAGAAGGGTCCTGACCTGAAAAATCATCTTCCCTGCTCTTCTGATGCTGCCTGGCCTACTGTGTTCTTACAGCTCCATACTGTGTTATTTCTGACTTCAGCATCTGTAGTTCTTGCTATCCCTGCCCTTTTTTGAAAATGTGTTAGGACTGTAACTTGGAATTTCAGTAGGTTTCTGTTTACTCGATAGAATCCAAATCACATGGGCCTGTTTATGCGTATAGATGGTTACTGTGGCTAACCATCCTCCTTTGCAGAATAGTCTGTTTCACCTTAAGTTGTAAAGTTCGGCATTTGTGACACGAAGAACTATAGTGTGATTTTTTTTGAAAGACAGCTTCTTATGAACGTCCACTCATAACTATACAGATCACTGTCAATGACTTGACAAAAAAAATCATTCCATCAGACTGCAAAGGAACTTTTGAGAATAAGTCTGAAACAAAATTCTTGTTACTATCTTTTTAATTGGAATTTTAAGGTTTTGAGAAAAATGGTTCCCATGTAGAGCCTGGCACATCCTTCACGTACAAGTGGACAGTACCTGACCATGTTGGACCTGCAGTGAACGATCCGTCCTGCCTAACTTGGATGTACTATTCTGCCACCAATCCAGTTGAGGACACCAATTCAGGCCTTGTTGGACCACTGATTGTATGCAGACAGAATACACTAAATCCAGATGGTTCACAGGTAGATTGCCTTTGAATTCTTTAAGTCTATTCAATTAAATATATTTCTTATTTTTCGTTTTGTTAGTTGCAACTTACTTTTCCTTTACCTTATAAAAGAGATAGTGCATAGTGGTAATGTTAGTGGATTAGTAATCTAGAGGCTTAGGTTAGTCCTCTGGAAATAGTGATTCAAATCCTAGCATGGCTTCTGGTAGAATTCAGTTTTCAGTTAATAATTTTTTTTATTCACTTATTGGATGTGAATGCCTCTGGCTGGTCAGCATTTATTGCCTGTCCTTCATTGCCCTTGAGAAGGTAGGTGCCTTCTTGAACTTCTGCAGTCCATGTATTGGGGATTCCAAGATTTTAAACCAGTGACAGTGAAGGAACGGCAATATTTCACAAATCAGGATTGTGAATGGTTTGGAGATGAACTTGCAGGTGATTTGATTTGATTTGATTTATTTATTGTTGCATGTAAAAATACAGTGAAAAGTGTTGTATAGTGTCACCACTGTCTGGTGCCATCTTAAAGCACAGTAAAATAAAACAAAACAGGGAATATAAAGGCAGAAAAATAATGAAATAAAGGAAAAGGGTTCAACTTTACAGTCCTTCTTGTTAAGTGCTCTGCCATGGACATTAGGCTTGGTGGCCAGGCACAATTCCACTTTGCCACGCCGCCACCACTGGAACGAAAGTCACCGCTGTTTGGTGCCATCTTGCCTCCACCGACAACTTCAATATTAGGAGTCCTCGCTGGATCTCACCAAGGCAAATGCCACCGGGTACCACACTGGCTCAAACTCAACTCTGTCACCGCTATGAGTCTGCTTCTGGTCTACCTTGCAGATGCAGTCACCGTTGATGTTGTCGGGTCTCGTATAGGGCCCAAACTTGCTTCTACCGTTGCCTCCATGCACCTGCGCTGGACACAGACACCACTGGGAACATAGAGATTTGCCTCTGCCAAAGCAGCCATGAGGTGATGCTAGGAGCCGCCGGGAACTCAAACTCACCTCCGCCGCCACCACAAGTCTGCGCTGGGTCCACTCGCCGCTGATGCTGTTGCCACCACAGAGCTCTTCGACAAGTGATAATTAAAACAAAAAAGAAAAAATACGAAAGAGAAAAATGAGAAAACGGACAGAATAAAAGAAAAGAACCAAAAAGAAAAGTGGATGGAGCTCAGAAGCCCTACTACACTGGCATCTTACTGGAAAGTGGTGGTGTTCCCATGTTTCTGCTGCCCTTGTCCATCTAGATGGAAGTGGTCATGGGTTTGGAAGGTGCTGTCTGGGAATCTTTGGTGAATTTTTGCAGTGGTACACAGTGCTGCTACTGAGCAGTCATGGTGGATGGAGTGGACATTTGTGGCTACGGTGCCAATCAAGCGAGCTGCTTGGCTGCTTTGTCCTAGGTTGTGTGTAAAGCTTCATGGGTGTTGTTGGAGCTGTACTCATTAGGTAAGTGAGAAGTATTCCATCTGGAATATGGAAAATAGTGCTAGTCTCAGGAATGATGACAATGGCAACTTATCATCGCAAGTTGTAAAAACCCATTGATTCACTATGCCTTTTAGATAAAGAAACCGCTGTCTTTAGCTGGTCTGGCCTATATATGATTCCAGACACACAGCAATGTGGCTGCCTTTTAACTGCCCCATGAAATGACCAAAGAAGCCTCTCAGTTCAAAGCATGGACAAGAGATAGACAACAATTGCTGTCCTTACCAACAACTCTCTCATACTATGAAAGAAAAGTAAAGAAAAAAGAAACTACAACATATTTTAAATCAGAGGAAAACTTTATACTGGTTGAGGTTATGCCTAGGACAAAGGGAGATGGTTATGGTTGCTGGAAGTTAATTACCTCTTAGGTCATCACTACAGGAGTTCCTTAGGATAGTGTCCTAAGTCCAAACATCTTTGCTTCATCAATGTTTTTCCCTCCATCATATGGTCAGAGTGTGAATGTTTACTGATGAGTGCACAGTATTCAGTACCATTTGTGATTCCTTAGAAACTGAAGCAGTCCGTGTTCCCATGTAGTAACATCAAGGCAGTATTCAGGCTTGGGCTGATAACTGGTAAATAACATTCACAAGGGGTTTAGCATGCTTACTTTCATTGGTCAGAACATTGAGTACAGTTACAGCTGTACAAGATATTGATAAGGCAACATTTGGAGTACTGCATATGATTCTGGTCACCCTGCTATTGGAAGTATGTTATTAAACTGGAAAGGGTGCAAAAAAGATTTACAAGGATGTTGCTGTGACAGGAATGTTTGAGTTATAAGGAGAGGTTGGATTGGCTGGGACATTTTTCCTTGGAATTTAGGAGACTGAGGAGTGCCCTTATAGAGGTTTAAAAAATCATGAGGGGCATAGATAATATGGATAACCAAATTCTTTTCCCAAAAACTAGAAGTCATGGGTTTAAGATGAGAGGGGAAAGATTTAAAAGGTACCTGAGGGACAACTTTTTCACACACGATGGTGCATATATGGAACAAGCTGCCGGAGGAATTGGTAGAGGCAGGCACAGTTACAACATTTAAAGGTATTTGGACAGGTACAAGGATAGGAAAGATTTAGAGGGATACGTGCCAATTGCAGGCAAATGGGACTTAGTTCAGTTTAGGAAACTTGCACCAGCTGAAAGTTCCTCTCCAAGCGACACACCATCTTGACTTGGAACTATATAATTGTTCCTTCACTGTCCTTGGGTCAAAATTTGGACCGTCTTTCCTCAACACTATTGGTGTACTCACACAAGACACGCAGCAGCAGCTCAAGAATGTGGCTTACCACCATTTTCTCAAGGTCAATTAAGGAGAGCTTCAAATGCTGACTTTGCTAGTGATGCCTACATCCCGAAGAAATGTTAAAAAAAAATAAATTTTGTGTAGAAATATTTACTGTGGTTGTGCAACATTTCTGTCTTTGCTAATGTTAAATAAACATTAAATAGTTTATTTTAAATGAGTTAATATGTTTATAGATGTCTTTGCGAAAGGCTGTTTTTTTGCCATCACACTGACACGATTTGTGTCTATTCTGTCTGCCAATGCATTGTATTCATTCCCATTGCTAAATCCATGCTTTTGTGCCTGGTTTGAAACAGTCAGAAGATGTTCATACACCTGCTGAAATTCTCCAACATTTTCTTCAGAATTTGTTTCAGATTTTCAGCATCTGCATTATTTTGCTTTTATTTATTATTGTTATGCATCTGTTGTTTGCTGACTGCTTGCCACCCCATCACTACATTCTGAGGAAGGGTCACCAGAACCGAAACGTTAACTCTGTCTTTTCCTTCACAGATGCTGCCAGACCTGCTGAGCTTTTCCAGCAACTTTGTTTTTGTTACTACTCTCCGGCCCCTTGCTACACATCTTGGTCACTTGCCTGTCCTCCCTTTCTCAGCTTCTCACCATCCCATTTGGCGTCTAATTTAACACTGGCCTCCAAAATACTTACTGCCTCACTCATCGCTTTGCTGTCAACTTATTGCCACCCTGCTCACCGCACAACTTCCATTTGCTTGCTACACTTCTTCCTGACCCTAAACCAGATTAAAACCGGCAGCAGGAGGTTCAAAACCCATTCCTATTAAGGCAGATGCAAAGCTTCCCTCCTCATCTTACACGTAGTAAAAAGTCAAGATGCTTTGTCATGCTTCGGGATGTAATCACCAATTACCTTCTTTTGAGCAGGCAATTCCAGAAGAAGAGAAGATTTATTGAATCGAGACACCTTTGTTCCTCCAAAAATGTTATGAGTCCTGGTGAATGACTTTGGTTCAGTTTCTGCTTGCAACAAATAATCCTGTATTATCTGGAGTAGATCCAGACATGACCATTTGTAGCTTTGTTGAAACTGAACAGAGTGAATAAATCTACTGCCTTCACCTTTAAGAGAGTCCACCAAGCCTGTGTCTTTAATTGTTGCACAGTATACTGAATCTATTTGGGTTTCTGATTTGGAATGATATCAAACACAGTGTTCACACTTGGGAGTTTTCCATTAATTTCAACTCAAAAGCATCCTTCCAACTTATGAAATGTGTTTGCTTTGCAGAAAGACATAGAAAAGGAGTTTTACTTGCTGTATACAGTTTTTGATGAAAATCTTAGCTGGTATTTTTCAAAGAATTTGGAGACATTCGTTCAAAATGCTTCCAACATCGATCAGGAGGATGAAGAATTTCAAGAATCAAATAAAATGCACGGTGCGTGACTGTCATGGGAATATTTTTGTGTTTAAGCACTTTGGGGTGTTGCTGCACTTTGTAATGTGTAATTAGTGAAATTTTAAACCTTTAAGTGGTTTTAATTTGATGATGTTGTTATTGAGGATTGTCAGTATTTCTCTGTGCTCTGCATTATTGTGTGGTAAAAAAGACCCCTAACAAGTCTGCCAGCAAATGATGGCAGTACAGTTCTTCACACATATGTTTGCAAGTATACAAAGTAAAATTAATAAGCTTCCTGTAGACCTGGCAACTTCACTATTGATGGAAAGAGCTAGTGATATAAAGAGAAAACATATTTTTGAAAAATGTAGCTGTGGCTTTTGGTCAATTTGTTGACCATGTTGAGTTTGCTGCTATCATTCAGAGCAGTAGTCAGAATGCTTCGACTGACCTCGATGCCCCTGGGTAAACCTAACGGTGGAATAGATTTATATTTGATGGCTATTCAGTGATCTATGTTTGATGGTGAAGGTGAGGCCATGATGTCATTTTACAATCCTTTTCCCAGTGCCTCACCACAAAACCATCTGCTCGTGCTACTTGCCTAGGCATTCTCACGGAAGTGGGCACTGGAAAGCACCTATCATCCAATGAAATTGTAAGTCGCTATCTGGAGTGAAGGGACGTGGTGGTTGATAAATGGCAAGTAATATTGCCATGACATAAATACGAGAAAATGGCCATCTCCAATAAGAGATAATCTAGCCATCTTATGTTGACATTTAATGATATTGCCATCACTGATTCCCCAACATCCTGGAGGGTTACCATTGATAAATAATTAACCTGGACAAGTCACAAAGAGGCTAAGAATTAGGCAGCCTTCATTTCTGGCTATGGAGGCTAGGAATTAGAGGCCTTTACCTTACCTACTAACTCCCAGTGCCTGGATGAACACAGCAGGCCAAGCAGCATCATAGGAGCAGAGAGGCT